TTTCGATGATAAGCCATAAAAGTGAAAGAATAAATGAATGTCTTCATTCTCCTGTTTACTTTTTTCTTATCTTCCTCCTTTTTTGACATTATACACTGCACACCGACAGAGCCTTCAGTATACAACCAACTGTTGAAATTTCAAAGTAATGGGAGAAAAAACTTTAAAGTCCATTTGGACCAATTATTGTCAGAGATGCTTGCATATAGTGAAATAAATCCAACCTGACGCACATTATTAATAAACAGGAAGAACACAGCATAGCATGGTGGCTAAGACTGTAGGCCCTATTTCTTCTAAGTGAAATATGAAACCCAAAAACCATAAAGAAAAAAACTGATAAATTTAACTACATCAGAAATGTACATTTCCTCACTGGAAAAAAAATTTCACAAAGAAAAAGTGCCAACTAGGGGGAAATATTTGTAATTCATATAATAGATAATGGACCTCTTTTTTTCACATACAAAGAGCTCTTACAAATCAATCTGTAAAGGTTCAGTTTCACGCAACAGAAAAAAAATACAAGTAGTTTATGTATTTTTTTAGAAAGATGTAAATTTAAAACAGCAAGACGCTATTTTTCACTTACTGAATTAGCAAAGATAAAGAGTTTACAATACGTAGTACTTATTGAGAATATGGGGAAATAGGAATTTTCAGTGTGCATTATTACCCTTTGACCTAGGGATTCCATTTCTGTATATTTGTCCTCCAGATACCCTGTACATGTCTGTAAAGACTTAGGTATCAGAATGTTTATTGCAGCAATATTTACAATAGCAGAAGATAAAAAAACAACTTAAGTGACTTCTTTTGGGAGAGTGGGTAAATAAACTGTGTGACATTCATCCTATGCAGTCATTAAAAAACACATTTTCATATATGCAAATTATCTCCAAATTACATTAAGTGTGGGAGGGATCATGGTACATAACAGTGTAGCATATAATTCTGCACTATAGGAAAGAGAGGGGAAAAGGCAAATACATATTTATGTTTGTAAACACCTAGAATATTTCTCACAATTAAGAGTGGCATCCTCTGAGAAAGGGAAGTAGGAGTCTGGGGTAGAAGAGAAACTTATTTTTTAAATATGTAACTTTTTGTACTATATTACCTTTTCAATGAAAATAAATAAGAACACAGACACTGGGTGTTTAAAAACTGCCTCCATCCTTTTTTTAGTGGAGTAACCTCGAGAGGTTACTTAACCCTCTAATTCTTTGTTTCCTCATCTGTAAAATGGGGCTAATAACTTTCCTTCCTTTATATGACTAGCATAATAATTAGATAACATGTGGAAAATGCCTAGTACAGTACCTACCCCCCAAAATAGTCACTTTTGAAGCAAAGAGCCCTAAACCAGAAGTGACTTCACAAGTAGCTGCAGACAAGTCATGTGACCCCTGTGACCTGGAGTCTTCAGTCCCTCATTACCAGATGATCCCTGAAGCCCCTTACTCTGAATTTCCCTGTTCTTTTGCTAGAGGAACTCATTTCTTACTAGAAGTTCTAGCTCCGCAGATGAAATTAGATGCTCCTGGGAGTAGGTGCTTTGGCACCTTCCCAATCCCATATCAGACCTAAGATCAGAGCATCCATCAGATGTGAAAATCGGGTGTGACTGTATCTATGGCATCTTCTCTTGTTTCCCATTTGCAGAACTGGAACTGAAGAAAAAAAATTATAGTGGTTGGGGAAACGGCACCGAAGTGGAACTATGGTGGAAAATGTTTAAACTAGTGGCAAGGAAAAGCTTGATTGCTGAAGAAATAGCTTCCTGGGTTTCATAAGATAGCTGCCTGTTCTGCGGGCATCACAGAGGGTGTCACAGAGGGTGTCACAGAGGGCTTTGTGGGAGCTGGAGAAAAGAGTGCTGGTAACCGTGCTCCAGGAGCATCCAGGTCTGGGCAGTACTGTCTGTGGTCCTGAGGCCCGTGCCATGCTTTGGAACTGAAGGAAGAGGTCTGCCATCCATACCTGGGTCTGGGGCTAAAGGGGAGCAGCAGCCCCAAGGCCAGTGTAGTGAGGGGTCAGGGGTGCAGGAGAAACCCAAAAGGAAACCTGTCTCAGTACAGTTGCCCCCACTCCACGTCCATCCTGAGAGGGCCATGCCTTGCCTTCTTAAAGGAGCCTGTGGGTTTCCTCACAGAACTCCTCAGACAAGAGAAGGCAGTTAGGTTGCTCTGAGAAATGTTGGCACAGTAGACAGATGGTCATGACTCTGTCTCTCTTGTACAGGTGCTGAGGGATGTCCTCAAGGATCTCTACCACCTGCTGAAGCATGTGGTGCGTCTGGAGCCCGATGACGTGGCCAAGCTCCATGCCCAGCTAGCCCTGGAAGAGCTGGATGAGATAATGAGAAACTTTCTGTTCCCACCGCAGAAGCTGGAGAAAAAGATCACGGTCCTGCCATAGAGAAGGCCCAAGGACATGGAGGAGGCAGAGGAACCAAGCAGCCAGAGCAGTGCCCACGCCTTCCAGCAGGTGGCCCCACTGCCTCTTTGGTGCTGGTAATATGGCTGCCCCCGGAGGTGGCTTTATGTCTCTGGTCATGTGTGTCTTCAGGTTGACCTCCCTAAAGCATCTGTGTAGCCATTCTGCATCCAGCCTGAAGTGGGTGCGATAAAAGAAAAATGAGTACAGACCCCATTAATCTGCACATTTTTCACTGTCCTGTAGCATTTAGAGAAGGATTTCTACCTGATGGAAGTATATTTTTACAACCGATGGAATTTGATTGACCATTCTCTTCTTGCAACTTGAGTAGAAGAGGCTGGCCACCCGTCTGTCGCATATCTTGATATTCTTTCACAGTGAGGTTGTCCCTCTTGTGATGAGGAACAGCCAGGGCTAGTCATCCTTGGCCACTCAAGAGCCTGTCAGGGACGGAGATGCAGTTGGAGGTAGAGAGGGAAAGAAAGCATTATCAAAACATGCAAAAATGGAATAAAATTATCTTGGCTGTAAAGAATAACAGGTCTGAATCTGGTCCTCTGCCATTGAGATGGAAAGCTATGGCGCTGAGGAGGATTTGAGCTCCAGAAAAGAGGATCAAGCTGGTTGACTCATCCAGAGAAGAAGGGTAAGCACTGTGTTTGTCCTTCCTGGCCATTTTGTTTCACTCCCTCTGCTACTGTCTGCCCAGCGCTGCCTCGATTATAGGAGAAAAGAGCCACAAGCATCTCTGATGAGAGAGTTTGAATCCTGCCTTCGGTCCTCTGCTCCCATAGGAAGAGGAGTGCTTAGACAGTGTGTTTGTGCTGAATGCCTGCTGGAAAGTGCGTCGCATATTGGTGACCTGATGCCAGGTTTTTTGAAGTCATTTCACATGTAGCACTCACTGTGGATGCCTTTTTATCTATTTATATATTTTGGCCACTGAATTTTGATTGCAGCTAAAAGAGGAGACAGAAAGGAGAAAAAGACTGACTGCTTCAGACAAGCCCTCCCCGTCGTCAGCATCTTGGTGAGGCTAACCTGGACTCCTTAACCAGTCCTCAGCTCTGCAGGGCTGAATTTTGTCACAGTACTTTACCCCCACTCTCTGGTGACCAGGCCCACCAGAACCAAAACACAATTTCCCCAAACTCTCAGGTGACTGACGGATCTGTCTACAAGCAGGCCCACTTGCCAGTTAACAGCAGGCTGTTTTCCTCTGGCCAGATTACAGACACAGTCCTTAGCTTAGAACCTTTGTGGTGGGCATCCTGTTAAAGAGGCCAACTCACAGATAGTTGTGTCCCACAGGTTAGCCTAGTGAGCAGAGAATTAGAACAAAGGCAGTTAGGAATATTTCTATTCTGCTAAGTTACCTGGATTAACCTCCATTCTTCAAATCAAGGGTGTCTAGAAAAATCAGGATTGGGCTTTCAAATCAGAGGAGACTCTCTTTTGGACCAGTTGGATATACACTAGAAATTCTTGTTCCTTGGCCTTCTTCTAACTAGACTGCATACAGCCCACTAAAGATAATCAGATTGGATCTATTAGACAATTGGCTTAACTTACAACAGTATTTGCATTAAATGCTTTCCAGTTTTGAGAACATATCCTAGCTGATCAGCTTGATGAGACTGAGAAACTCTCTGGTCGAAAAACCTAGTCTAGAGAGTGCCTCACCAAGCATCCTAGTCCTTTATCTCCTCTTAATAAATTGCCTCTTAATTTGGATTATTTGGCAAGTGGCTAAAAGTGTCTGTTCTTATCGATTTTGATGGAATCAATTTCAGAGAGTAATTTTTTCTGACCTTGTTACCAAATTCAAGGGGAAGATACCCTACTGAACCCTTCTAAACACCAAATATGACAAAAATATTCAAAGTTTTCAAATTGTTAAACAATTCTTCCATGTTTAGATATATAGATATATCGATATCTATAGCTATATGCCTCCATCCTTGGGAAAGAGCAATGAGAATTGAGAGCTTTAGGATAATCAAAACTCAAAACTCAAAAAAAAAAAAGGCACAGAACTCCAGGGGCCGATGGCAGGAGCAAGAGTGACACTTCCAGGACTGTGAGGTGTGTCTGATTCTGCGTAACAGTAACATCCTTGTGCTTGGCTTCCACCTCCACCTGCCTCTTCTCTCTCCAAGTCCACCTTCTCCCTGCTGCCCCTTCCAGTCTCCTCCCTTCGCCTCGCCCTTCACCTCTCTCACAGAAGTTCTCCTGGACTGTCACCTTCAGTCCCCTCCGTTGCATAGCAGTCTGTCACCCATGCTCCTCTGTATCACTGACTTGATCTTTTACTTGGCCCCCTCCCCCCTCTCCCTTCCCGATTTCTTCCTCCTCTTCCCAGGCCCGCTGTCCCTTCGTCTACAGAGGATGGCACTGTGGCGAGATACACACAGGGAGCCCAAAGCTGTGGCTGCAGCCAAACCCCAGGCTCTCTGCCCAAGTGTCAACTGCTCTATCAGGTTAGACTTACTGGAGATTCTGGAGTTTCCCTCTCTGCTGTGTTGTCCTTCCTCCTTGGCGCACACTTGCCCTTCTACACGTGCTCTGCAGTTTAATCAGAAATCTCTTACCTTTCACTTTGCACACAGACTTTCACCTCTCCACACACATACTTTTTCCTATTTTCATAGTCTCCTTTGCCTCTCTTCTCTGTTCCTTTACTTTCCTGGGCCTCTGCCCACCCACCCACGCATAAGGGAGTCCCCTCCAGGGACCAGAGGGTAGGAAAATGAATCACAGACAATGACAACAATGTATTGAGCACCTGCCATGTGCCCGATGCTGCACCAGGCACTGAGAATCACAGCTGTGAGCAAAACCCTTACCTTCAGGGGAGGCTCACATTGTAGTGGAAGGAGACTGACAATAAATAAGATAAATAATAAAATAGGCAGAATGTCAAATGGTGATAAATGCTACAGAGAAAAATAAAGTTGGGAAGGAGGATGAGGAATGTATGGGGTGAGAACTGTCAGTTTGGATACGTTGTCCAGAGAAGTCTGCACTGAGAAGTTGATATCTGAGTAAAGATTGGAAGGAGGTGAAGGATCGACCATGAAGATACTTGGGGGAGGAGCATTCCAGGAGTCGTGAGTAGGCCTGGAGGTGAGGGAGGAAGGAGGGGTGGTGGCTGAGCGCAGGGAGGGCAGTGGGGGGAGGGGAGGGCCACGGAGGTGATGTGCCCAATCACATGAGCAAGGGGGCCTGCCACAGACCTATTTCTACCTGAAACCCATTCAGCTTATTTTTTGGAAAGTGCTTTGAGGCCAAGATGATAAAAACTGTAAAATGGGAAGTACATGGAGCCCAAAGGAATTCACACCAATCACATTTTTTTCTGCGCAATCAAATTGAAGCGGTGAGCCCCATCCCCTTTCCCTACCCGCTTCTCTGGCAGCAGCCCTTTACCCTCACTGGCCCCAGAAGAAAGAGGTAAGCTGCCTTGTTGGTCTGGCCTCTGTCCCCGCCCTGCTCCTTCCCTTTGTCTCTGAGATTATGAGTGAATGGAGCCTGGCCTGCCACCTGCCTGTGACTCGCCCGTGATCACTGCAGTGGACGGGGAAGGCCAGGACATGTGAAAGTTGTTCAGTTGGTTGAGGGATGATTCATCTGACCTGGACAAAAGCAGATTGGCTTCTGCAGTCTTTCTGCACAGAAATCCAAAAGCTCAGCTGGAATTTCAGTGGCAAGGGAGGGAGTCAGAAACGGGAGCCGAGTTCCAGGGTGGGCTGTGGGAGGCAGCCACTCCGCCCTGACCGTGGTGGGGAGGGGGGCGGTCTTCTTCCCCTGACCCCTGGACAGCAGCAGGCATGACCTCTAAGGGCCCAGCCGTGTCCTCCAGCGAGCTCTGCAGGCACGGAGCTTCTGCAGTCACCCGCGGCAGCCTCCCTGCAGCGCCGCACCTCTTATGTCCTGCACTGCTCTGCCTGCTTGGGGGTTGAGTTGTCTTAGGATGCCGGCTCCCGCACTCTTCCCTGCTGGCAGGGCTCAGAGCTGTGCTCGGCACGCCCGGGCTGGCAGGTGAGGAGGCAGCGCAGACCTGCACCATCAGCCCTGGAAGGGGCTGCGCCCACCTATTTGAAGGGTGTCTGTTGTCCCTCCTCACACTTCTTCAGGGCTCAGTAGCCCGAAGGGAGGGCTCACGTATTACCTGCCCCCACCCCGTGACACTACAGTCCATTGTGGGGGGGGGCATGGAATAGCAAGATCACTTGTTTCCTTTACTTTGGAAGGTCATTTTTTATCTACAAGCTTGGATGATTCTCATAACTACACTGTGGAACAGGGAAGTACCCTATTGCCCCTTTGGTGGGATTTGGCCCAAGTCTCCAGAGGACTTGAGGCAGACTCTTTTGAACATCAGTTGAATCCTATGAAGTCTCTCCCCTCCGAAACAAGTATAGAAACAAAACCCTTTCACCTAGAGCACAGTTTGGGAAGCAAACTCAGGGGCTCATATTCACTCATGAGCCCCAGCATAAGGGACCCACGAAGCAGTCAGTTGATCTCCACTGACCCCTGCGGAGCGATGCCCATGCTCTCTGGCGCTCTGCCCTTAGAGTGCTGAGGAGGGGCAGAGCCCTCAGATGCAGACACCCTGACTGCGTCTGTATGTGTGGGTGTGGTGTGCGCATGCGTGCTTTCTAATTACATATGTCATATAAATTATACATTTAAAGTATATGTAACAGAAAGAATTCCCACAACCTCACCTCCACTCCCACCCCAAGGTTACCACCGACCAGCAGTTTGGTGTATATCCCTCCAGATCTTTCTTTCCTTTCACCCTTTTCCCAAATATATACTAACATACATTGTGGCTTTCAAAAACAAGTGTAATTGTTACCATAAAGAGTGTCCCATGCATTTGTTTCCTAGTCACATACCTTGGAGACACTGTCCTGCCAGTACTCACAGTCCCCTCTCCCCTGCGATGGTGGCATGTCTTCATTGCATAGGTGACCCACAGCTGGTTGAGGCATTTGTCTTTTGATGGTCAGTTGAATTGTTTCTAATTTCCCATGATTCTCCGGTGATTGTCAAGCATACATAACTCTTTGCAAACGGAAGTGTTTCTACAGGATGAGTCCTAAGGTCAGAATGCTGGTTCAAAAAGTTATAAACATTTTCGGTGTTAACTGTCCACCAACACGTTTGTGCTGATCTCCACCCCTCCATCCATGGCCAACTTGCATTAATAGCCATGAAATGCAGGTTCAGTCTCCACAGCCAAGTGTTAACACCATTCTCTAGATAATTCAGGACCAGGGAACCTTCAGGGGATGGAGTTTTCTGTGTATGGAAACCACAGGCTTGGTAGGGGCACAGTAGTGCTCTTTGCAAGCATGCAACCAGCAGCCATAGCCAGTTACAGGCACTCATCCTGGAGAGAAGTCCTGGGCCCTTGCACGTCTAGTCAGAAGCGCTTCTACTAGGCTCTCAGCTCTGAGACTCTGTCCTGAGTGTTAAAGCGGGCCTTCTCATGGGGTTTGTGGTGTCCCCAGGATAATGACCACGGTTCCCAAACCAGACTCGGGACGTGGGGTCTGATGGCCCTCGGGTTCATCCTGTAAAGCCCAGGGTGAATGGTTGCTGTAGCTCTGCCTCCTTGTCCATCATCATCAGTTCACACTATAAAGAGCTTATTACGTTTTGTGCATCTGACATGTATTCATCCACTGACTCCTCTCACTGCACCTGTGAGGTAAGTATTATCATTATCCCTGTTTTACAGATGGGAAAACTGAGACACACAAAAGGCTAATTACTTGCTCCAGATTACATAGGAAGAAGTGGCTAAACCAGTATTTGGACCCAGGCAGTCTGGCTCCCAAGGCTGGGCCTTTAGCCACTGTGCTTTGCTGCTACCCAACAGACACAATATTTTCAAATGGTCAAATGGTTCACTGCTTGTTCAAATGGACTGGATGTCAAGTTAAACTTCTATCCTGATTCCCACCAAATAGTGCCCGTGTACATAAAAACCCAACCTCAAACACCAGAACTTGTTACATCTTGTATTTGACCTTGTAGTTTGCCCAGCGGCTGGAGAAGAGATTTACTAAAGCTCCCCAGCCCGCCTGCTCCTGTACTTTGACAGTTTTCATAAACTGCTCATTGAAAGCCTTGTTCTTCTTTCCTGGGGTGGCTGAGGTAGGAGACCTGAGGCTGCCTTCCTGGTGGCACAGGAGGCAGAGAGCCATGTTGTGTGTGTGCAACATAGAAAATGTAGCAGGTTTTCCCATGAACTCCAATCTGAGCCCAGAAATACCCCTTTGAAGGTTTGCTGTTATTTTTTGTTTGCTCTACCCCTTCACATCCTGAAAGCAGGGTTTCAGTTCTCAGATTTCGGTATCTCAAAATGATAACAATAGATCACTTTAAACTGTTATTTCTTGAGTATATATTTCTTGCATGTGTACACTGATAGCTCGATTCCATACCAGTCCTTGAGAGAAAAAAATGAGACTGGAATTAATGACCCTCTTTTGCAGAAGGGAAAAAGAAGGTCTAGAGAGATCAGTTCTTGCAAATGGGAAGAGAACGAGGGAAAGGGAGACGTGCGTGCACTAGTGCAGAGGAACTTTGGACTTTATTCACTAGTTCTTACAGAAACCAGTTAGCCGGCACCTAACTCCATCGCAGAGGGGCCGGGGTGTGGCTGAGGGTGAGAGTTGTATCAGGAGAGGCAGTTTGAGGGCAGCTTTGGAGCTGCAGGAGCATCATCTCTGCTGAGGAACTAGGAAAAGCTACTGGGCCTTTAAGTGGTTTATTAAATGATGTAAGATTTAATCTTCACTGTCTGCCTGTAAGAGCTAAAGCCTGCTCTGAACAGGGCCTGGGTGGGGCTCTCCTGATGTATTGCCGGAGTCATCACACGCATAAGTACAGAACAAAGCCATCTGCTCCACGCTCCCAGAGTCTTTAGAACCTGGACAGGCTCCCCCTGCCCTGCCCCCACCATACCTACACCCCTTTATTAGACCACACACCACTTTCCAAACTTCAAAACCTATGGTGACCATACTCATCCTAGTGAAGGGCCAGCCTGAAATTAGGCTATCTTTACTGAAAGAAGGATGGTGCTGATGCTTCAAAGAACTATGCCTGGGGAGAGCCCCCCTCACACTTTCCAAAGACACTATTTCAGGATTGTTCAGAGACTGCAAAGAAGGCTCCAGCATCAGCCATGTGAATGTTTCTCTGCGGCCAAGGCCAGGGTCATGGGGACTTCACGCCCCAAAATTGAGCAGCCCAGATCCACTACCCTACCCATTCTTTAGGTAGGAGAAGCCCCCTGTGTGTAGTAGTCCCATCACTTGTAAACAAAAACCAGTTCAAGTTGTTTATGGTAGTTCCATCCTCCCTGGTTTTCCTCCAGTTCTCCTGGGAAAAAGCTGGAGGCACCTTTGCCAACTTTTAAGATTCTATCAATCCAAGTCCAGGCAGATTCAGAGATCTGGGGACTGACCCTGCCCAGCTGGTCCTGTCCTCTGTGTTTTTCCTTGGCTCTCCCTACTTTCTACTTCAAATCAGCATCTTTTCTCTTGTTCCTTTTTGTCTTCTGGCTTAATAGTTCATTGGTTGGTTCATTGTTAAGGTTTTAAGTCGGTTAATTCAAACAGGTGTGGCAGGCAAGGTGCTCGAGGTGAAGGGAGAGATACTCGTGCTCTCTAGAGCTCACCTCTGGGACTGGCTGGCTCTCTTGCTGTCCTCCCGGTGCCAGAAGGGCACTTGCAAACCAGCTAAGGAGAATCCTCAGGATGTGTTCTCAGTGCTGGATGCACAATAGAATCTCCTACGGAATTAAAGTTAAAAATTCAAGCTCACCCCCAGTGATTATGACTGAATTGATCTGGGATAGGGTCCAGGTGTTAGTGTTTTTTAAAAAGCTACGCAGGTTTTAAAAGTCAAATGTGCAGCAGCCAGACATGAGAACCACTGCAGTATCTTATCTGGTAAGACAAGAAGGGCAGCGTGTGTGTGTGCGTGTGTGCGCACGTGAGTTGGGCAGGTATCCTAAGAAAAAAATCTGAGAGTAGGACGTACTTGGGGGTGGGGGGGTCTTTCCCCATGAGATTGCTGATGGGAACTGCCCCTACCCTCGGCTTTTCTCTAATTGCTTTATAGGGGATCCAGCTTTGGCCTTCTGTGACAGTGACTAATGGTGTCTTTAATCAAGAAAAAGGACATAAAGCAGAAGTGCCAGCACATTTAAGAACTGTGGTTGATGTTATTGTAACGAGAGCTAAATACATTTGGAACAAGGTTACCTTAAGCGATTTGTTCCCCTCCTGAGGATCCTGTGACTAGGACTGTAGACTGGGGTTGTGTTCCACTTGGGTCTGAGAAAGTGAGTGTGCACTTGTGTCATGAGCAAGTATGCATGTGTCTGTTTTGTGTACAGTGCGTTGTGTGCACATGTGGGTGTGGACGTCCCCAGAGGTAACTGCATAGGGGTAGGTTTGCAGCACCCACAGGAGACAGCCTCTCCCTAGGGCTTCTTCAGGCAGGAGTGCAGTGCTGTTGACATCACTGTTCTTGGAAATACTTTTTCTGGGAGAAGCATCCAGGCACTCCTAGAACCCACATTTAGTGCGCCTGCCTCCCTTCCTTAGGATCACTGTGACCCTCGATAAGGGGCTGAGTGGGGGGTGATACCAGCTGGGCTGTGCCAGGCAAACCATGTGACCTGGCTCATGGCTGTGTTGCCAGGAGGAAGGAGTCTTAATAATTCTCTCAAAGTCGCTGGATGAGCAAGTACAGCTCTACATCCTCCCTGCTTCCCTGTAAAATTCTCTCAAAGGAATAGTGGGAGGGATTTAAATGAAGCAAATTATCGGTTTTGGCGACCATGAATCCTATATCCTGGCCTTCCCAACACTACTGCTTTCTTAGTAGACTGGGGTTGCCAAACCTTTTTCACTTGAACCCATGTGTCATACGGACTGTATCCCACCCAACCGCAGCTTAGAAGGAAATTCTGTGGATTCACAATTTGTATTATTTAAAAATACCTTTTCACTACAAAATTATTATACTTATTAGTAGAAAATTTGGAGAATACAGAGAAAAAGGTAAAGAGAAAAAATTTGTTGTTTCACCACCCAAACCTGATCTTAATATCCAGGTGAATTTCTCTCCTGCCTTTTAATTCATAGGATTTAAAAGAAAACAACATAAATGTAGTCATTCATACATGACAATGTTTGTATCCTGCCTTTTTTACTTAACATTGTATTATAAGCATATTTGCATATTCCCACATTCTCTTCATGAACATTATGCTTAGTAGCTGCACAATATTCTACCAAGAAGGTAGATTATGGTTTAAAATCGTCTTCCGGATTTCTTTCTCCATTCACCTTGGGAGGGAGAGAAAGGAAAGATGACCAGGAAGAGCTCTTCCTGTTCAGGATTCCAAGAAAAGCATCTCTAGGTCTGACTTGACACTTGGTTATCAGTCCCCTGTGCCCTTCGAAACGTGACCTTCAAGCCAGCATAAAAGAACCTGGCCCCTTGGTAGGGGCTGGCTGCTCTATCTCCAGCAGAACAGAGGCCCCTTAATTTGAAATGAAAACGATTCTTCCACCCAAGGAGAGAGAGACTGGAGTTAAAATCTAACCACTCTAACTGCAGGACAGAAAAGTGCTTAAGCCTACTTCTTCAAACATAGCACCTAGAAATGGTACTGATTACAGAGTACTTGTCGGTAAGAGGGGAGAGTTATGAAAGGATAACTTTGTTTGGTAGTAGCTGCCTCGCCGTAGTCAAGGCACACACTTTCCACTTTGAATTATGTATTAACTAGTATTGCAGATGAAGCTGCCTTGAGGAGAAAGCCCTATTTAGTCAGCTGGGGGACATAACTTGTTATTCCTTGGAAGCCAATTTAAATTCACCTTCATTAGCTTCAAGAGGTTTTGACTGTGGTCAGCCCAGAAGATGCTGATGGGATGAAGCCTGAAGGGACTAGGGGAGACCTGGTGGGTTGGCTGCCGTCCCCCATTCTTTTTTGCTTCGCTAGAGACTGCGGGCTAGATGCCAGGGTGGAGCACTGAAGTGTGAGGGCAGAGGGTGAGGGGGCAGCCTCTGGAGCTAGAACATCCCTCCTTTCCCTGCCTCTCACTGCCCAGTCAATCACTGGGAGACCAGCAGAGCAGAGCAGCACCTGGTTACTTGGTAGGTTTGTCCCGCAGTTTCAAGCACAAGTGATGACAATAAAGCTTGAATGGTAGACTCCTATGGGTGCAAAGTTTTTGAGTATTTCATGGGTTTGGATTTGAAAATTAGTTGGGAAATGAAATATTTGTTTGTGGTACTATTGGCTTCAGTTTTTTCAAACCCTCTGAAGCTTTGAGAATGGCCCCTTCAGTCCTTCAGCTGACCCCCTAAGTCTCTTTCTCTTGATTATTCCTCCACCTCTACCCTCACTTGTGCCCAAGATAGTTGACACTGCCTGCTTTCAACTCTGCTTCCTGAAGGCAGCACCAACAATTCTCATCACTGCCCTTTCCTGCCCCTTTGTTGTGGTTTATCTGCCTCCTAACAGGTCTCCTAACCCCACTCCTGAAGTACCACCAGCTCAGCAAACAATACTTCCAACGTTTTACTCCCTTGCTCAGACATCTTTTGTAGGTCTCTGTCACCTACTGGATAAAATCTAAGCTCCTTATTCAGTCATCTAAGGCCCTCCAGAATCAGTCCCTAGCATCCTCCTCCTCTGCAGATAAACTTTATCAGGCACTTTCTACATAGCAGGCACCGTTGCAAGTTCTTCAGTGTCAATTTCTTGTTTCGTCCAGGGCTTTCTTTGCTGTCCTTCAAACACACCTCACCTATTCCTCTACCACCCCTTCTTGTTCCCAAGCTCTGCTTCCTGTCTAGAATGCTCTTGCCTCTACACAGTCAGCTCACGTTCTCCAGGAAACTCTGCCCAGCCTATTCCAGAGATATCTTTCCTGACATCTTTAAGCTCATCTAATTGGGTTCTCTCATCAACATTTAATTATAAACTTCCTTGTACAGTTACTTAATTTTTCAAGTGTATTTGTCTTCAAAATGGATAACTATCTAGATGACAGCAGATCAACCTGAGACTTCCTGGTGCCAAAGCACCCTTCTCTGCTCAGAGCAGGTCTTCAGTGTGTGTTCAATAAATGTTAAAATACCGCACGAATCTTCTACTACAGAGCCAAACAGGAGGCTCATCCTCTGGAAGCTATGTAAAAGCCATTCAGCAACCTCTGAATTCACGTTAAGTGACTGAGTATGGAATTAGTCCTATTTTCTAAATCCCCAGTGGTAAGCAGAGATAAACTTGAGCTTTATTGTATTAACCCCTGAAAGATTCTTCCAGCCACTGCCCCCTGAAGAGAGAAATGCAAAAAGAGCAGGGCAAACTGGGTGTTAATTACAGGCAAATCCTCCCTGGCATAGACTGGCTGCAAAGGTAAAGACTCTCCTGGCTGCCTGATAACACCAGGTCGCTGGCCCTGCAGATCAGAAAATGAGAATTTGCTCCCCAGGGGAAGCCATTTAGGGGGCCAAGCCAATTGATATGGGCAGAGTGTTTACTGTTCTTATGATGTTGCATCTGGACCTGCTGTTCATTTAGGAGGTTTTAATTGACTAGTGAAGTTGTGCTGTACCAGCCCATCACCTATAAAACTCCCTGGAG